TAGTTCAACTGGTAATAGTTCAGAAGCACCGCAATAATCTCCTCACTGTTGGTGAAACTCAGAGGGAAGAGAAAGCCCTTTAGATAGATTGTGCTTTTATCATGGATTTACGGTTTCATTTCTTTCATCTACTTGTATATTTTAATGCTTGGTGGTGTTTCAAATTGCCTATGAACGTGATCATTTTGCTTTACTTTACAAGTCAATATATTTGGTTTAATTTTCAAACCAGTGGAGAACTACCTATTTTGGTCCTTGTCAATTGCAATATGTTTGAGATTCGGAATGTATCAAAAGTTTGAGCTTGGCTGGAGGGCAATCATTGTGGTTACTCAATGCAGACTCAAGGTCACGTGCCAAATCTACAAGGTAAAAAGGTCATTTTTTTCTCCTTTTAGATTAGCATGAATCTAAGATTCTAGACTGCCCATCTGTTTAAATCTTGAAATTATGGATAAAGATGGGATCTTTTTCATTTTTTCTCTGTGATAGGTGTCCTGATTCAGGTTCATTCTATACGTTGGAGGCTAACACATGTTTGTAGTTTTTGGAAAACTGGTAGAAGTATCTCTCTGACAAACACAATAGAGATTGCAAGTTGAGGGTTTTGTTTCTGGTCAGTATCTTCTAACCCTATAACACATTTCTTGTTCATAAAATGTGTTAACAGCATCATGTTGATTCTTGAAATATCAATCGTATGACTTGTTTCAGCCATGTTATTCCTCCTCCTTTAATAACACTTCTGTCGATATTTTGGAGCAGGTTATGAAGCTGGAAGCAAAGCCATTAAAGAATACTCCACCCTTTTCTCTCAGCAAAGGTAAAAAAGGGCCAATAAGAAGCTAGCACCGTTTGAAAAGGACTTAGAAGTGAAAGTCTAATCATATCTTTGGATTCTATTTCTGCTGATGTGAAACTTGAATTGCCGTCCTTGGCCATGATCATTTCCTCACCCAAAAAATAAAAATAAATAAATACAATGACAAAGATGATGCTGAAAGAAGATTTGTTTTATGATTATAAGCTTGGGCAACTTGTGGTAACATGAAAATCCCTTTGGTCTGCAAGGCCCATTTTTGGTGGAACATGATATATCAACATCAGAATTCTAAGATTTATTCTCTTAAAAGTTGTACCTCTTTGCTATCATTTTCGGCTGCAGACCAGCCACTTGCTCCGATAATAATTATTCTCCTGTCATTTCTTCCATCATCATAAGTACATTAATGGGCGTTTTGGTTATTTACAGGTATAACTACAACTAAAGCTACAAATTGTTTGTTTCTTTTATAACTAGAGTTATATTGATTTGGTTACCTTTTGTTTTAAACTAAACAGTCCCTAATTGTATGGTTATGCAAATTATTAAACTAAACAGTATACCGACAACTTGGGTATATATCAGGGAAACTTATTTTAATTTCCCCCCCTCGATTCTCCTAAATCCCTCCTCCCTCGATTACGGCGAGATTTTGGCCCTGGATTCCATCCCAGCGAACCGAAGGAGGTTATGCTGAAAGGCTTCAAGGTATCGAATTGATCTCGTTATCTTTTGATTTGTCGGATTGAAACCCTAGATTTTGAGCTCAATTTTAGCGATTTCGGTTGTGTTTAGGGATCTGGCTGGTGTTGATCAGTTTGTTTGAATTTGATTCAGATACTTAGAATTTTGACTTAGTGTTAGGGTTTTGGATTGGAATTTGGTTGTGGATGATGATGATTGGTTGGGATTAGGGTTTCTAATAGGGGGAGCTAGGGTTTACGAATCCATGATCTGATTATATGTCTCTTACTATTGAATATCACAATTTTAGCAATTTTGATGGTGTTTTAGGGATTTGACTAGGGTTGATCAGATGGTTTAAATTTCATTCGCGATCCCTAAATTTTGCTTTAGTTTTTGGGTTTTGTGTTCAGATTCGTTTATCAGGTATGAAAAAGTTTATTTGGGGCTTTGATCATTGGATCCAGGGCTCGATGTTTGAAGATTCTATCTTGGAAATTAGGTAACCCTTGCTCCCTTGTCCTTCCTCCTATTTTACTTCTCACTTTTTTATCATCATCAAAAGGGAATGCTTTATTTTTCCCTTTTCCCTCATTATTAGAAGGCAATGGCATGTGATCAATACACATGTTGATCCTTGATTTAGCCTCCTTATTAAAAACTACAGAAACATCTGATCGCTCACCTACAACGGTCAGAAGCTTGGACATTTTGCTCCAGCTGGTGATAAGATCAATGTCATATTCTGAAAGTTGATATCCAGAATCAAAACATGCTAAGATAGATTTGAATAACCCCTTAAAACGTATGGACTCGGGGATCATGACACATATAACTAGTAAATTCTTTACGATGACTTTATCGTCGTAAGAACTTGTGTGGAGGGCAAAGACCAAATTTTGCAGCTGGAAGTGTCCGACTGTCAACTCCGTTAACTTGATTCCCGCATACCTTTGCATATCATGATAGTTCTCTCTACAGGGTAAAAAAGTTAAGTGTGTAATAATGTGCGTCTTGTTCGGGTTCCTAAATTCATACCAGCATAATTTGTTTGATGTCTGGTCAAACTTAACGAAGCCCACTAGATAAACATCAAGACAACGAATGCGAACAAAAGTT